TTTCTATATATCAGGGGTGGGCAATTCCAGTTCCTAGGGGTCAGTATCCTGCAACTTTTAGATCCACCCTTGGTCCAACACACCTGAATCAAATAGTGGAGTTTCCTCCTCAGTATGCAGTCAGTTCCTCCAGAGTCCACTTCATTGTCTAATTATTTGATTCAGGTTTGTTGAACTAAAGGCGCATCTAAAAATGGCAGGAAACTGGCCCTGTTATATATTGTAATGTACTTTGATGTTTTGTATATTTGTAAATTTGAGAGTTTTACTGTTAGATTATTTATTCAGATTTATACATTACTCATTGGTACTTGAATGTTTAAGGTTTTTCCTTGTAAATGTTTACTAGATTCTAAGTTCTTTTTTAAATAGTTTTCTTATAAATTTAACATCTCATTCCACATCTATATATGAGTTAAGAAAATAATCTTTAATTTGTTCACAGCGACTTACATTTACAAATTCAGACAATGACGTACGGTTTTAATACCCCATGCTAGTATTTATTCAGTTTATGTTTTTTATTTCTTCTTTTTTTTTCTTTTTAACCACAGCTGAAAATGCTTCTTATTGTCTGCAGTTTAGGTTCGGACCACAGGGTGGCAGCAGAGTTCAACTAGGCAGCTCTAAGACTCGGTTACCCAGAGTTCCAGGGGCTTGAGGAGGGGGGAGGGGCGTACCTGTCCACACCTGCAGAGAGTTTAGAGTCTGAAGAAAATAGAGAGGTGTCTGTCGGTCAGGGAGAGAAGGGGGGAATGTTGAGAGGTCAGTGAACCGAAGCTGAGGGCTGAGATCCGGACTGAGCAGGTCCAGGTTCTGCCTTATTCCACCTGGATAAATCTGGATCCACTTGGATCCACCTGGATCCAGATTTCTCAACTCTGACTTGAAGCAGGAAGTGAAGAAGCAGCAAACATGGTGAGTTAATGTTCTTTTAAAATAAACAGAACAGAACAGAACCCCCCCAGGAGCAGAAGGAGCTTCTGCTTCTGGTTCCACTTCTAAAGACTCCAGTTGTCTGAATCTGATTTCTGGAATTATTTTAACTTTAAAAAATAAAAAAACAATAAACCTCCCTTAAGAGAGAGATTTATCTTTTGATTCTGGAAGTTTCAGAAATCTGAGATAAACCTGAAAAATGTTTTAAAAAATCAATAATAAGGAAACTATAGAAGCAAATAAATAAATAAATTTGATCAAAGGTTTAGTTAGATAAAAAAAAAAATAATGATTCAAATCAAATGTTTTTCTGTCTGGATTAGAGCTGAGATTGACTTTTTGATTAAATCTAAACTCTTGCTGGTGTTTAAAATTTAAACAGGTTTTGTTTCCAGGTTCACATTAAAACCGACCAATCAGAAACAAGCTGTGGGCGTCGGCTTGTCATTTGGCTTCATTTAAGTAAAATGTTTTTCCACTACTAAATGGTTATCTCTGGAAACATATTTATTTACCCAGGAGAGAAAACAGAGCCAGCCCGGCGCCCCATTGGGTTCCTTGGGTCCTCGTGTCATTTTATTCTGTTTTCTTTATCTAACCTCTAATTCTCAGGGTTACTTTGTAAAATCAGTTTTATTTGCAAATGAATCTTACTGTGATTTTACTGAAGGGTAATCACATGTAGTGAGGACCATACATTGACTTCCACTGAGTTTTTTACATTTATTTTGCCATTTTTAACACTTTCTATGTCTTTATCCTGACAATAACCCTAACCTAACTTTAACCTTAACTCAATTTACACCTAACTTCTTAACCTAACTGTTTGCAAAACAGGAAGAGAACTTAATTTGATGGTGAGATGTGAGTATTGGTCCTCACTCTGCTGCCATAACAGGAGCGCACACACTCTGCCGTTCTGCAGCACTACATGTCTTCACAGGACTCTGGAATGCTGGAATTCAGTAGATGAGGCAGCAAATGGAGCCACCGGGAACATTTCAGAGGGCCCACTGCCTTGGGTGGGTCAAGGAAGGGTGGGGCTGATGACATCACGCTATGGTTAGAGACAGAGCAGCTGAAGTGTATATATTAGTATATTTTTTGCATGCCTTATACCCTAGTGTTTTTAGAGATTTTTATAATTTTATTTACTATTTCATGTATTTTTCATGTTGCATGACTGTACCACAAAAATTTCCTAGTTGTGAACCTCTTCACTAACAATGGCAATAAACCCGATTCTGATTCTGATTAGAGAATAAAAACTCTTTCCCGCTGAAATTTAGCGGGTTAACGCAGGTTTTTCAAACATCCGCCCTTACCCCCTCAATCACTACACAGAGCCGGTTCTATATAGTAGACTTTATAATGAACTCAGATAACTGACCGTTCGGACAGATGATCATTGCTTTTCGCTCCCCGTTGGTCACATGAATCTAACCTGACTCCGCCAGATGGATTTGCATCTGGAAACCTTCCGTTGA